ACGGCGCATTCAAGCAAGCAAAGTAAACCTCTTTAGGTCAGGGGATTGTTAAAAGACAAACATAGGTTGGTAAGAAGCTGGAATCAAACCAAGCTGACAGTCTGATAGTACATATGAGCGCATCCCTGGCTGTTCTGTAAGCCTTTGTGGGAAGGTGTGGGGCTTTTTGTTGTTAATTTTTAAAAATCAACAGTTCTTTCAGTTTGATGTGTGTCATTACAACGCTCCCAGAGGTAATGGAGAAGGGTAATACCAGCAGTAATAGAATAAAATGTTCATATTGATAGTGTTAACTCTTTTGGATAACTGATCTGTAATGACTATTTAAGTGATTGCCAGAAAAATCATTGTGATTAGCAACCTGTATAAATTGAGAGAGCCAATGCTGTGTTTTTCCTTAGTGTTATCTGTCCAGTCAGCGTGCCGGGTACCAGACAGCTGTATCTGGATGTCCTGATCCTTTTTTTGAATCTTGAAGCCATTATGTCAGTTTTAAGCAAAGCCTAATGTTTCTAGGAGCCAGAACGTATCTTGTCTTTCAAAGTAACATTTGCTGAGATAGGAGAATATTCCCTGGAAGGCTTTCAGGGTTCCTCTAATGTTCTTTTACCTGCAGGGCTTACCTAAATTGGTTCACTTTAACTTGCTTCAGTGTTAATGTGCAGTGAGCATACACTGGCATTTGAACCCTGGGGAAAGTGCCTCTACTTTAACTGCAAGGCTCAAGGAGTATCTTGCAATGAAGAAACACCATCCCTGCCCTAATGCTATAGCTGTAAACCCTGTTTTGTGTTTCATCTCTCCCATCTCCTCCTCTTTCATTCAGAAACTTGGAAGAGAAGCCTTTTGACACTCGTCTCTCAAATTAGAATTTCAACTAATCTTTTTTTTTTTTCCCCCCCCCAAAAAACCTGTTAAATTCTACCAGGTTGGAATACTACTGTATCTAAAGGCTTTTGCTAATGCTGCTGGATCACTTTCCACAGAAATCTCTGCTAAGGAGTGTGGGCTGTGCTCAGGCAGCAACCCGAAACACCAGAATGGCAGGATGCCACTGCCTCTGAGTCTGTCTGAGCTTGGGTTCTGGCCAAGTGAGAGAGGAAAGAGCTTTGAGCAGATATCTGTTTCCTTGCTTGAGAAGCTTGTGTGCTTGCTTTTTGCTCCATAAGCCCAAAGAATAAGCATTTCTGTGCCCTAGCTGAGGTGCTGGGTGTCCCAAGAGATCAGGATCCCATGGTTGCTGAATGGCATGATGTTGGTGGAGGTGATTATCTCAGAGCATGAGCCTGAGCTCTCTGCAGGTCTCCAGCTGTGGCCAGCAGTGATCTGTCAGAGGTTGTTGGGAGAAGGAGGACAAATAAATTGTGATCCCTCCAGGTGGAGGGGATGTAATAAGCCACTGAAAGGAGGATATAAAATAAATCACGGTTAGAAAGAGCCAGAAGGGTTAAATTAATATCTGCGTTTTATATTTGGGGCTGTGAACTGCTGTGCCAACTGGTATGTCCAAATTAATACTGGGCCAGGCATGCATCTCAGCTGTGACTAATTAAAGTGCCTCTTAGATGTTAATTGCTGTCATCTCCCACATACGGTTGGCACCTGACAGTGTAAAGGCTTATCTTCCTTTCTGTTCCAGTTGAAAGTCAAGTGTGTTACCTGGAGGCACCCGAAATGAGAGAGCTTGTTTGACAGAGAGCGACAGCCAAGAGGATGTTTGTCTTCTTGCCCTTCCATCTGTCCAGTGAGAGCAGGATCAGTCTCCTGTAGAGGGGCTGAGCCTCCCCCAGTGTCTCTGAATGGAGCTAAGGGGCACCTCTGACTGGCTCTGGGTGTTTTTGAGATTCAGGGGAGAAGGTCAGATTTGGGCCAGGCCTGACAGAGGTAGAGACGGCTGACGTTTTCCTGTGTCTCTTAGAAAAAGGTGCTGCTGCCCGGTATTGGTAAAGCATTTTAGGACCTGGTCTCTGCAGAAGTAGTCAGGTTTTTAGCCATGCTGAAGTGGTGAGTTGGGGTGACACAAGAGGTGGTTGAACTGCACAAAACTTCTCAGACTGGAGAAGTTTGTGCCAAATTAACATTCAGGTGCTTTTGCCTTTGTTTAACAGCGCAGTATTCCAACTGTCATTTCAATCAGTTTTTTTGTTTTAACTTGTACTAATTTCATTTGTTTTGTAGCACGTTTAAAATCTTGTTTTCAAAATGTGGTTTGTCTTTTTAATGCTTTCAGCTCTGCTTGTTTGTACGTTTTAATTTTTGTTTTCCTTTTTTGGCATTTGTTTTATTTTACATCACCCTCCGGGATCCCCCAATATTGACCCTGTGACCTGTGACCTTTCAACCTACATCCCTACAATGATTTCCTCCCTTCCTGTGACCTCTTTTGGGGCTTGGTGCTTCTCCACCTAGTAGTTTAAGACTAGCCAAAAATGCAAAGCAAGGCTTGAATAACTCTCCTCCAGTGAAAGAGCTGAAAGAATCCTCTGCAGTTGATGCCTTCCGATCCCGCAGCATCAGTGTGTCTGAACATGTGGTCCGCAGGTAGAGGCACTTTAAATGGGGAGAATCCAAGAGCAACTCAGCACTTGGAAATTTTACTGCAAGGGTGGGTGGAAGCAGGGTGGATTTGCATGTGGGATGCTTGCATGACTTTGCTACTCAATAAAAAAACTGGCCTTAATCACAGTCAAAGGCTTTGGGAAAGCATCATGGGTATCCCATGGCTTCCCAACGCCGGCTGTTGGGTTGTCACATCACACCCTGTGTTGTGTGTGGTTACTTTACCCTGTTCTCTGATGCTTCAGCAACAAAAATTTCTATTTTCAAAGCGAAGATGATGAATGGGGGAAAAACAAACAAACAACACTTTAAAAAAAAAAAAAGGGAAAAAGGTTGCATTCTGTGCAAGTGAGAATCCTGGTTAAAACTCACTAAAACTTCAGCCTTCTCAGCAGTGGCTTGCCCCAGGAGAGGCTTTTGATATTCTGCAAACTTATGTACAGACCTTCCTCCCAAGCTATGAGGAATAGTTCTGGCCTCAGTTTAGGATTTGTTCTTTGAGGCAAAGGGAGCTGACGGAAGTATTCTGGTCTAGAGTATGATGCTATGAAAGCCTGAATTTGTGTTTCTGAAGAGCAGTGAAATGTATGGTCAGCCTATATGAAGCCATTGCTTTCACCACTAAAGAAAACAGGTTTTGATCATAGACGTTGATTTGCACACATGAAAGATGAAACAATTTGGTTTTTTTTGTTTAAAACATATTTCTGGATGATATGAAGCCATTGCTTTCACCGCTAAAGAAAACAGGTTTTGATCATAGATGTTGATTTGTACACATGAAAGATGAAACAATTTGGGTTTTTTTTGTTTAAAACATATTTCTGGATCACTTCCCTTGAGTGTTAAACTGCTGTGTTTAACATGTTGGTTTAAAATCTGAACCTGAAGATTTGTGCCTAAGGATTGCTGGCAGTGGAACTTTATTTTTCTGTGGTTTTATTTTTGACTATATGGTCTTTGGGGGAAAGACACTGAAGTGACTGGATTGTGAATACGATTCTTGCACTTCATCTCTGATATCCCCATCAGTCTATTAGGCCTGTTATTGCCATTGTTTTAAATGGTATCACTAACTTGGCTGATTTGAAGGCAGAGTTGCTCTCTATTCCTGTGCCAATTTCCTGTTCAGAGTGCAATTTTTTTTCTATTTCAAGTTAAATTAGGTTTTACATAGCTATTAAATTTGGTGAGAAAAAAAATCAATATATGAAAGGGATGCAACAGAGAAAAAAAGAACATCAAAGGATCATAAAGTTAAGTCTGGAGTGCCCCAATTTATGGCTCATGGGCAACACTGTGCCTGGGAAACTGCAGGTGATGGGATGCTTGCCCTCACTATAGATTAGTGAACTCAAAGCATGGTGCTGCCACTCACTCTTTGCTTGGTGCACTTGCCCATGGGCCACCAACATCAGAGAGCGCTGGCCTGACCTAGGACATTAAATGTTTCTCAAGTCTCTCAAGATAAAATACATTTTCTGCAACGACCATCTACAAAGAACAACAAGAGGCTGATCCAAAAAGATTTTTATGATGGCCTGGGTTTGATGTCTGGCCACCTCTCTGATGTGGCACGTGCATGTATCGCAGGTTGTTCTGCATCACAGTGTCTTTCGGGTGACAGGGACAAACGTTTTGCAATGTGATCTGTCAGTTGGAAACATTCTCTTCTAGTCGGATACAAACCTCCATCACTAGTTCAAGCCTGGGCTCTGCGGATGAGAATTCAATGGCTCAGGCTGATGACAACTTAAAAAATCTTCACCTGGAGCTCACTGAGACCTGCCTGGATATGATGGCTCGATACGTCTTTTCCAACTTCACGGCGGTGCCTAAGAGGTAGGGGTCTGTCGGTGGCCATGGGAGAGATGGTTTTGTTTGAGGTTCATATTTAATTTTCTTAGTGGAAAATTACCGTGACACATTAGAGATTCTGGCAGGCCCAGGCTCTGAAGCTGTTCCTCACAGATAAAATCTGCCTTGGCTAAATATGAAGTTAAATGAGAGAAGTCCATTGGAGCCAACCAGCCTTTGCCTCATCCTTGAACTGTTGAGAAGGAGGTGCCTCCAAGGCATGCTGTCTGTGCACGATGCTTTGCTCATGTCCTTGCTGGATAATCACAGTCCTTGCTGCAGAGCTGAGGTCGTGCCAGCTGGCTTCAAATGCAGGGCATTTACTTTTCTTCCTGACCCTTCCCAGAAGGAGACACACAGCTCAGACATGACTTGTTCCCTTCTGCTCTGCGATGTGTGTCCAATAGTACTACTACTGATTTGATGTTAAATTCAGCTCATCCCTTATCTGGATGGATGTGTGTGTTAATGACCAGGGGGTATGTTAAAAATGCTGTATAAAGAAGGAAAGCGGGCAGTACCTCCTACACAGTGACATGAAATAAGTTGCCTGGGAGCTTTGCTCATCACAGATGTGTTTCTAGGTCTCCTGTGGGTGAGTTTCTGTTGGCTGGAGGAAGGACAAAGACGTGGCTGGTTGGTAACAAGCTGGTGACCATCACTACAAGCGTTGGAACAGGGACAAGGTCCCTGCTTGGCCTAGACTCTGCAGACCTCCAAAGCAGCACAGAATCAAGGTAATTTTTACTCTCATTTATAGAAATTTCCACCTAACAGAGTCACTTAACCAATGTTACAGTGCATATTTTTAGATTTTCCTCTTACCAAAAGAGTAGTGTCTCATTTGTCCAGCACGACTGATTCCTTTCTCAGTATCATCAACCTCTTTTTTCACAGCTCAGACCCTGTTTTGCAAGTGAGACAAACTAAAGAAGCTCCAGCAAAACTGGAATCTCAAGCTGGGCAGCAGGTTTGCAGAAGCTCTCGCAACAGAGTCCGCTCCATGTCTGGTAAATTCTGATCCTGGAGTCTTTCTGCCATTTCTGGGTCTATGTTGTGGGCTTAAGTGTCCAAGTGCCTACTGAAGAGACCTGTGCCTAAACTAATTTGAGATTCTGGGCCTGTCTGGTATTTAATGGTGGGGCAGGAAACAGTAGCTGTTGACCTGAGGGGTGGTGGTGCTCCTCCTGCTGCCTCTCCTTGCAGGAAAGCTGTGGTGGTTGGTTGAAGTGGTGAATACTTGCAGTGAGAATCACCTAGGTTTATCTAACCTCATGGTTTATAAGAAACACATAAAAGGTGAAGTTCTCTTAGGTTCCCAATATTGTGCACGCAGCTGCTAGAGGAGCTTAAAAGACATTATTTCTGAATTATTTTTAGTGCTAACTAAGCATGGCTCTCCCTTCTGTGTCTGTCTTACTAGGTGGTCATGCCTTACGTGTCGGTGCCTTAGACAGCTCAGCCTCCCATTTTCCCAGTGGCTCGGCTTCCCAAGGGTCACAGGGTCCTCCTGCTCCTGCGTCTCGATCAGAGAAGACTAATCCTGCTCCACAGACACCTCTGCAGAAAGAAAAAGCAAACTTAGCTGCCTATGTCCCACTGCTGACACAGGGATGGGCAGAAATCCTAGTGCGCAGACCCACAGGTAACTTCACCTCGGTGTGGAGCGAGCTCTCTTGCCTTGCTGAGAAACCAGAGCCTGTGTGAAGAAGAAAAATCCATATTTAATTGCAAATGGATCTCTATTTTGCTTATTGCCTCCTGAAACTAATGTCTGATGATTCTTTCAAATCACTCCGTAGTGTTTTAGACCTACAAGAGACCTGTGAAAAGATTGAAGCACGGACCTAAATTTCTATATAGAGTCAGATAATATCAACCCTACTTGGCATTTCCTATTTTTACACTGCTCTGTGGTCTTTCTTGACAATCTGTCTACTGTGTTTTAGCTTCCCATGCTGGATTGGAGATGAGTGAGTCTTATGGCTAGAGGAGCTGCATAGTTGTGCCTGCTGTCAGGGAAAGAATAATGACGTGTTCAAGGTCAAAATTCTTACAGGACATTGACAGGGAATTGTCTATTTCAGCTGAAAGTTGCTTTGTGAGAAAATAACTGATCTGGTGTCAATAATTATAATACCTGAGTGTTTGGGATGCCTTTTGGGAGTCTGCTGTAGTAATGAGTTAGCAGGAATGGTTTTTGAAGAGCTTGGGGTGAAGTACAGAGCTCTGGGAGCTACTTACTGAAAACAGGAAATTAATCAAGTGATTCTGCCAAATGTTGGGAGAACTGAGAACTTGGTCTGGTTTGATTTTTACTTGCAAAATCCAAAACAATTTGTGCTTTTTTTTTTGGTGTGAGTTGTAAACTTTCTGGAGTTGGGAGTACTTAATACTCTTCCCTAATTGTCTTGTACCAGGTAACACAAGCTGGCTGATGAGTCTGGAGAACCCGCTCAGTCCATTTTCTTCAGATATTAACAACATGCCCCTGCAAGAGCTCTCTAATGCACTCATGGCTGCAGAGCGTTGGTGTGAGTTGTAAACTTTTTGGAGTTGGGAGTACTTAATACTCTTCCCTATTTGGTGTGAGTTGTAAACTTTCTGGAGTTGGGAGTACTTAATACTCTTCCCTAATTGTCTTGTACCAGGTAACACAAGCTGGCTGATGAGTCTGGAGAACCCGCTCAGTCCATTTTCTTCAGATATTAACAACATGCCCCTGCAAGAGCTCTCTAATGCACTCATGGCTGCAGAGCGTTTTAAAGAACACCGAGAAACGGCTCTTTATAAATCCCTCTCTGTGCCCTCCTCCAGCCTGGCCACAGGGACAGCCAAACCGTCGCTGCTCCAGCGCTCCAACACAGGTGAGAGATGGGAAGCCAGTAGTGTGTCCAGCATAGCTGACACTGGCCTCTTTTAAAGTCTGTTGAAGTTACTGCAGGGCATCTAGAACAGTGAAGTTAGTAGCATGAGGAATAACATGGCAGCGAGAAGGGGAATCAGTTCTTGTTCCAAGAAGTTTTCGGTGAAAAATTCCCTTCCTCCTTGCTTCTGATGTTCTGTTGGAAAGTACCTCTCTTTCTTAAAAGAGAGGAAAGAGGGGAGTAATGGAGTTTCTTTGGAGGAGTAATGCGTTTCATGCTGTTTCCCAAATGAAAGTGAACAAAGTCATGGATCTTTTCACTCTTCCACTTGTTTGGGGCTGATCTGGGCATCCCACACGTGGATGGATCTTCCCATGCAGCGTTTCCATTTCCATTTGTCTTCAGAACGGGAGTTTGTGTGGGGCAGTGAGAGCACTGGGTTCCTGGGAGAGTGGCCTGTTACAAGCCTTGCCAGCCAGGATCAGTTAGTTGCCACTGTCTTTTACAGCATGAGACAGCAGAATGCAGATTTATTCACCTCTTGAAAGGGACTGTTTAGCCTTCAGACCCGTGGAGATGAATCACTTTGAGTTTCTTTTGATGGCTTTATTTTAATGTAGTGGCCGGGGCTTTTCACTGTATTTACTTTGGTGCCAATTCACTTTCCAAAGGGCTGTTGATGTTGGGAGGTTTGTGTTGACCAACAGCTGAAATTTTTAAAGCTTTGTGTAATCCCTGCTCAGAGCTCTTATCTACAACATCTAACGCTGAGGCTCTTGGCACTGCCAGCACTATCGAAACTGAGCAGCAGTAACAGCAGACGAGGCTTTTTTTGGGGGGGAGGTGGCCTCAATGCTATGAATTGTTTGGAAATCTGGTAAAAATGCTAGTTTTCAGGATTATTTTAAACAGGGCAGGATATGATTTTAGGATTTCAGAATGCGTAAATGCAAAATTAGAGTCAAAATCAAATTATCGCCTTTTTGAAAAAAAAAATTAAATTTTTATCGGTGAACATTTTTATTGACTCCTACGAATTTGTGGTGTGTAGGTGCTAACTGATTAGCTGAAAGAAGCGCCCACCTGAATGTCACTCCCGTGGCAGTCTGAGAAAATAATTTTAGCCACATTCTTGTTACCACAATTTTTTGCCGGAGCTGGCTGGAGAATGAATGTTTTGAGGAAGTTTTGCTGTCAGACTCTCACACGTGTGTTGTTCTTCCTCTTTAGAGGTTAAAACTACATGAATCTGTATCCATATTTCTACCCTTCAGACTCTTCTGTGGGTTTAAAAATGATCTTTTGTGAAAAGTGTGTAGCCCAGGCAGAGCTCAGCCTGGTTTCCTGCGTGTCCCAGGGTAGCACTAAGGAATTTTCTGTTTCTAAAACTCAGGAAGGTGCAATTCTTCGAAGAGAGCAATTCGAGTCTGCATTGTTTGAATGTGTTTATGCCTCCTTATTCATGTTGAGACCTTGTACCCTTAAATTATCCCTTTGGCATCTAGTGAGCTTATCCCAGCTTGTCCTTTCCTTTGTTTTTATTTATTTATTTATTTATTTTAAAATAGGCTCTTGGTTACATTTTAAACTCTGTGCTTTTTAATTTATATTTTGTTTTCATATAGTCTCTCCTTCCTTTTGATGTAGCTGCTCACTTGATTTCCCTTTGCAGTGGCCTCTTTCTCTTCCATGTACCAGTCCAGTTGTCAAGGGAAGTTGCACAGGAGCATATCCTGGGCAGGTATATTTATATATCTTTAAGGAAAAAAAAAAAAAAAAAAAAAGTATTGCCATAGAAGAACACCTCTGATTCATAGAAAATGTCTCCCTCATACTTCATTTTCCCCTTCCATGTCTCCTGTCTGTACCCAGTCTCATTACTCTCAACAAATGGGATCTTGACTAGCATGAAGAAGTCCAAGCCAGATCCAACATTTGCAAGTGCAGGCGATTTCTTAAAGCAACTTTTATGTTAGCTGGGGTGGATTGGATTGTGAGTCATGAGACACAGTGTTAAATGACCTGTCAAAATGTCTGAGTGGCTTGATTTTGATTGAATTACTTATTTTCAGCTTCATTTTACAATTGGCTTTGTGTTCTGCTGAATGTAAAAGCTCTTGCTTCTGAGAATAGCGTAGTGTGCAACAGGACAAGCTACCCTGAAATGAAGTCCCCTGCTACTCAGCCCACAGGAATCTGTCAGAATTGGACAGAAAAGATAAAAGGAGCTGATATATATGAGATTATATATATATATAAAGTTTGATGTTAAAACGGATGTTGGTTAAAAGTTTTTTAAATAAAAAAAGAAGAAACGTATTTCAGAGGAAAACCTGCTAAATTCTAGCCTTTTGGAGGCTCTATAGCAGTGTAAAATCTTTCTCCGCTTCACTAAAATTGACTTAGTAATTAAATGAAGTGGAGATCAAATTGCATACCTTATGAGCACAACACCTGCATTGCTTTGATAATCTGCAATGCTTTCTGATTTTAATTAGAGGGTTGAAATGTCTTTCTCCCTTCTTTCCTTCACTGGAAAATTCTCTGTAGAGCAGCGGGGTTATTCTTAACTGCTGGTTATTGTTGACAAAGGCCTCTTAAAGCAACACAGAGATCCTGCAGTAAAATCAAATATTTTTCTGTACTTCTCTCTGCTCATGTTATTCTCTTCCCACCTAAAAAATAATCAGTGAGTGCTTGCATTATTTAAAATCACCAGAAATCTTGGCAGTAGCGTAAGAGCTAGGGAAGCTTGGAATCACTGGATATATGCAGGTGTGTTCTGGCTTGGACAGCTAACCAGATCAGCACGTTGTTTTGGGTTATTTTTGTTTTGGTTTGTTTTGGTTTTTTTTAGAAGGTATGTGTGTGCAATGCTAACTCTTAATTGCTTCTTTGAAATAACTTTGGTCCTGCGAGCTGAAATCAATCCAGGAAAAGCTGCTTTAGTGATTTTTTTTTTTTTTTTACTTTTTTTTTTTAATTTTGACGATTTTCTTTAATTTTTTGTGTGTGCTAATTTTTTATTTATTTATTTTTTAATTTTATTTTGGAAAACAAATCTTGGCCTTTCAGATTGGTCTTCCAGTCCCTTGTGTGCGTAATGGGAAGCCTCCTGTTCTCCAGCCTTTTCCTCAGGACAAAAAAAAACAAAACAGCAAGGCCAAGAGGAGCCTTTGGTCAGACTCATCCCTGTGGTCAGGGTCACTGCCTGGAGTAGAGACACTGTTAAATGCTGCCATAACCTCCTCCTCCACTGTAGGAAGGGCTTCCAAGGAGCTTTCTTGTCAGTGTGGTTTCATCAACCATTTGTCTGATCAGATGCCACGTGCAGGTTTCCCAGTATTGCTGCAGTGCATGTCTTACTCTTGCTCTCTTGTCCTTCCATACATCTAGGGCTGAATTTTTTTGCTTCTACTGAGACATACTAGGAAAACTGCCAAACTGCAAGTAAATGGCTCCTAGTAAAAATTTCTTATCTCCTTCTAGGCCACTACAAGGCACAGGAGCATTGCATTTCAATCCAAGAAAAAACTTAACTTTTTTGCACACTTGCATAGAACTGGTGTCTTCATTGCCTGGATAATGACGAACTTTTAATGCTAGTCTTGTACTTTCTTACATCTCTGTAGTTCCTGTCTGTCCTGATAACCGAGCATTGATGTCCAAGGTCCCATTTCCTCATTCTGTCCCCTGCTTGTTCATCAGTAACAATTGGAAACACTTATTTTGACCAAAGCAGACGCAGCCCTTTGCTGTGAGGGTAAGGCGATCCGTTACTCTATACAAAAGGGGGAGCCAGGAGCAAGTCTGACATGACAAGAAATCAAAGAACCAGAGCAACTCATTCAATGTGGCCTTCCATTGAAATCCCGTAGGGAAAAGGCTGGTACTTCAGAGGAGAGGCCGGGGGCCTGCCGGGCTGTGCCTCTCCACAGACTTCAGTTCTCCTGCCTTGTGTCTCGGTAGAGTCCGCAGTGGTGCTGGAGGAAGGGAGTCCCTCTGAAATGGAGCTCAAGGAAACCGAGTCCCCAGCTGAGTCTCCAGAGAGTGAGGACATTGATACTTCATGTTCTGAACAAGTCCTGAGCGAGGAGAGGTTTGGTAAACCCCAGGAGTCTTACAGCAGGGTAAGAAGCAGCAGGTTAACCCCTTCTGTCCTGTATGACAGGACTTAGTGACGTGGTTTAGTGATGGTTCTTATCAGAGTTACGTTGATGGTTGGACTAGATGATCTTAAAGGTCCCTTCCAACCTAGACAATTCTATGATAGCCCTGTCTTTAGGCATGAGGTAGAATTCTCTGTGCACAGATGAGTCCCCCTTGGCACCCTCTGAAAGAACTCATTAATTAATACCAAAATGCACAAGCAGTCATAATTCAGAGTTTGGATGGCTCATGAGGGACTGCATGCAGTTTTATTGGGGATCCTCCATCCGCATTACTTTGTGCTGGGCATCTTTCTGCTCATCTTTTCACTGGAAGTGTCAAGGGGTGCCTCGAGCGTTACTGTTGTCAGCTTTTATTTTGCTGTTATCAGGAAAACTGTTCATCTTTGTTTCTCCCTTTTTAAGTCCTCCTCAACCTCCAGCCAAGAAGAAAAATCTCTGAAGTCAGAAGACCTGGTGGAGGGTGGAATTCCCATCGGGAGAGTCCTGCCGTCAGAGGATGGCCGAACGCTGGAGGAGCTTTCCTTCCAGCCATCCCAGCCCCTCAGCAAGTCGAGCTCTTCCCCTGAGCTACAGACACTGCAGGAGGTCCTCAAAGATGCAAATGGCAGAGAAGTAACAAGGAGGCTGAGCACAGAAGTGAAATCAAAATCCCAGTCTGGGAACCTGGAAGGGGAAGGGCTGGGCAGTTGGCTGGGCAAGGGGGAGGACACCAGAGTGACAGGGTCGGGTGGGTTGGATGGCACCGGTCCTGTCACCTCACCTCGCTCCCCCTCCGGGCACCGGCCCCGAGGATACACCATCTCTGACTCAGCCCCATCCAGGAGGGGAAAAAGGATCGAGAGAGATGCCTTCAAGAGCAGAACAGCAGCCTCCAATGCTGAGAAAGTACCTGGGATAAACCCAAGGTGGGTGGAGAGGCTTATTGAAGCTAAAAATGATGAGCTCAGAATTGCTGTAGCCGTGGCTGGATTCTGCTGGTTTTGTGGGATCTACAAAACAATATCTGATTAAAAAGAAAGATGAATTACCTGTTTTTTTTTCAGGAGCTAATACAGGCTTGTTGAACCCACTACCACCAAATTAACTTTGTGATTTAGGAAACGGATCTCTTAAGTGGTTAAAGAAATAGTTTCCTTGTGTTCTTAATCTATCCCAATTTAGGTTCCAAATGCACAGGGGGCGTGAATACAGGTCACCTGGAGTTAATTTTGCTGTGCACAGAATGAATTACTAGTCGTGCAGTTCAAGAAATATAATGTGCAAAATGCCAAGAAGAAGGAAAAGAAGGGGTTATAATAATTGCTTTTTGAACGATAGGTATTGGTAGTTGCCCAAAATTGCTTTATGAGACAATCTTCATCCTGTTGAGGGCAGGTAAAACACAAATGTCTGTAAGTTTATTTAGGTGCTCACCTAGAAACACCCCCAGTGGCTGTGAGGCAGGAGCACGTTCCTACTCCTCGGCTCAGGGTGAAGATCCCCTTTTGAGGGGGAATTTGTGCGGCTGCCGCGGTTTGACATAACCGTTGGGTTTTATGACAGGGATCTATTACCAGCTGCAGGTAGTCCAGGTACCTAAAGTGTCTCTAGATGAGTAATGCTCTGTTAAGCATTTTAATTGCTGCTCTTTTGTACATAATGTTCTTACGTATAACAGGTGAAAATGGACTTAATTTTTATGGTAACAGGATTTCCCCCCCTCCCTCAGCTTTGTGTTTTTACAGTTGTACCACTCCCCGTTCTTTGGTGATGAAAACAACAAGCCCCTTTTGCTGCCAAATGAGGTAAGCAAGGATATTGTTTATTTTTTTTAATTCTTCTTGTTAATTTTTCTAACATCATTACTTTTTTTGAACATAAATGATAGTAGTTAATGGGTACTCAGCTCAGGTAGTGCAATTTAAAGGTGGTTCCTACCAGCAGTGCTACAGGTGGAAGATTTTCTGTTCCCCAGTCCTGGTGGCTTCCCCTTTATGGCTCTGGATTGAATTTGAGATATTGGGAGATTTTGTTGGTGCTGTTTCAGAATCCCAGCCAGAAAGCAGGATGATTTGGGGAGTTTTGGTTTTTGCTGGTAGGAGGAGAGCAGGATGAAGACTGACCAGTAGGTGATATTGGCAGAACGTCCCTAGACAAACTTAGCCCTCTGTATAATTGGGAGTGGCCAAGAAGCTTTCTGTGGTCATCTGAGAGACGTGTCATCAACTTCCTGGAGAAATAGTGCTGGAATGGGGTTCTTGTGAACTGAGCACCACAGACCTGCTGATGGTTTCCCCTTGCTTTAGGTTGGGGTGGTCAGGCAGTAGGGAGCCCAAGTGAGATGAGGTGATGCCTTCTGCTAAAAATGTTCTTCAGAGCAAGAGACGTAGTGATTTCTCATGCCTGGAGCTTAAATTGTAGTGACAAGTGCATCTTACCCGTGCAGTTTGCCAGATTAATCTCCTCTGAAGTATAAAACCAAGAGAGTGTGGTGACAGATGCCATATAGCACTGCTCTGTACCTTGGGCTGGGCCCTCCCAGAACAGAGTAGGGCAGCACTCCTCGAGGGAGACACTAGTGAAGGTCAGGAATCTGTGCTCACGTTGTGGTATCATTGTCCTGAGAGGGGTTTTTAGGGTGGACAGTGGGTGTGTGCAGATAAACTTTTAAAGATATGACCCATGTTTTCATTGTAGACGTTTGAAAGATCAGTGCAGCTCCTGGATCAAATTCCTTCGTACGACACGCACAAGATTGCGGTGCTCTACGTTGGAGAAGGCCAGGTGAGTTGTGGGAGATCCCTTAAGCCTTTAATGGTTACATCTCCACAGAAGGCCAGGCACCACTGCTCCAGAGCCTTGCTTTTCCTTAGTTTCTTGCACTTAAAATCAGTGCCTGCGTGAAGCCCTTCTGGGAAGGTAATAACCTAATCCCTTGTGCTGATTGAGTGCTCTCAGCTCTCAGTGTGGGATTCCCATGTCCTTATTTCCTAGAGCAACAACGAAATTGCAATTCTGTCAAACGAACACGGATCCTATCGCTACACGGAGTTCCTGACTGGCTTAGGGAAGCTCATTGAGCTCAAAGACTGTCAGCCAGATAAAATTTACCTTGGTGGCCTGGACGTGTGTGGGGAGGACGGACAGTTCACCTACTGTTGGCACGATGACATTATGCAAGGTAAGGTGGCCTCAGACACTGGAACTAGAAGGATGCTCTTTTCTCATCTTAAGACTGACCTGCCTTCTACAAACTGTTTCCTTCCCAGGGATGTAGTAAAGATGACCTGGGGCTCTGTTCTCCTCCCGTTCTCTCAATTAAAAAGAAAGATGAATTACATGGTTTTTTTCAGGAGCTAATACAGGCTTGTTGAACCCACTACCACCAAATTAACTTTGTGATTTAGGAAACGGATCTCTTAAGTGGTTAAAGAAATAGTTTCCTTGTGTTCTTAATCTATCCCAATTTAGGTTCCAAATGCACAGGGGGCGTGAATACAGGTCAGAAATGGATCTCTTAAGTGGTGAAAGAAATAGATAGTTTCCTTGTGTTCTTAATCTGTCCCAATTTAGGGTCCAAATGCACAGGGGGCGTGAATACAGGTCGAACCCACTACCACCAAATTAACTTTGTGATTTAAGAAACGGATCTCTTAAGTGGTTAAAGAAATAGTTTCCTTGTGTTCTTAATCTATCCCAATTTAGGTTCCAAATGCACAGGGGGCGTGAATACAGGTCACCTGGAGTTAATTTTGCTGTGCACAGAATGAATTACTAGTCGTGCAGTTCAAGAAATATAATGTGCAAAATGCCAAGAAGAAGGAAAAGAAGGGGTTATAATAATTGCTTTTTGAACGTTAGGTATGGTAGTTGCCCAAAATTGCTTTATGAGACAATCTTCATCCTGTTGAGGGCAGGTAAAACACAAATGTCTGTAAGTTTATTTAGCTGCTTGCCTAGAAACACCCCCCGTGGCTGTGAGGCAGGAGCGTGTTCCTACTCCTTGGCTCAGGGTGAAGATCCCCTTTTGAGGGGGAATTTGTGCAGCTGCCGCGGTTTGACATAACCGTTGGGTTTTATGACAGGGATCTATTACCAGCTGCAGGTAGTCCAGGTACCTAAAGTGTCTCTAGATGAGTAATGCTCTGTTAAGCATTTTAATTGCTGCTCTTCTGTACGTAATGTTCTTACGTATAACAGGTGAAAATGGACTTAATTTTTATGGTAACAGGATTTCCCCCCCTCCCTCAGCTTTGTGTTTTTACAGTTGTACCACTCCCCGTTCTTTGGTGATGAAAACAACAAGCCCCTTTTGCTGCCAAATGAGGTAAGCAAGGATATTGTTTATTTTTTTTAATTCTTCTTGTTAATTTTTCTAACATCATTACTTTTTTTGAACATAAATGATAGTAGTTAATGGGTACTCAGCTCAGGTAGTGCAATTTAAAGGTGGTTCCTACCAGCAGTGCTACAGGTGGAAGATTTTCTGTTCCCCAGTCCTGGTGGCTTCCCCTTTATGGCTCTGGATTGAATTTGAGATATTGGGAGATTTTGTTGGTGCTGTTTCAGAATCCCAGCCAGAAAGCAGGATGATTTGGGGAGTTTTGGTTTTTGCTGGTAGGAGGAGAGCAGGATGAAGACTGACCAGTAGGTGATATTGGCAGAACGTCCCTAGACAAACTTAGCCCTCTGTATAATTGGGAGTGGCCAAGAAGCTTTCTGTGGTCATCTGAGAGACGTGTCATCAACTTCCTGGAGAAATAGTGCTGGAATGGGGTTCTTGTGAACTGAGCACCACAGACCTGCTGATGGTTTCCCCTTGCTTTAGGTTGGGGTGGTCAGGCAGTAGGGAGCCCAAGTGAGATGAGGTGATGCCTTCTGCTAAAAATGTTCTTCAGAGCAAGAGACGTAGTGATTTCTCATGCCTGGAGCTTAAATTGTAGTGACAAGTGCATCTTACCCGTGCAGTTTGCCAGATTAATCTCCTCTGAAGTATAAAACCAAGAAAGTGTGGTGACAGATGCCATATAGCACTGCTCTGTACCTTGGGCTGGGCCCTCCCAGAACAGAGTAGGGCAGCACTCCTCGAGGGAGACACTAGTGAAGGTCAGGAATCTGTGCTCACGTTGTGGTATCATTGTCCTGAGAGGGGTTTTTAGGGTGGACAGTGGGTGTGTGCAGATAAACTTTTAAAGATATGACCCATGTTTTCATTGTAGACGTTTGAAAGATCAGTGCAGCTCCTGGATCAAATTCCTTCGTACGACACGCACAAGATTGCGGTGCTCTACGTTGGAGAAGGCCAGGTGAGTTGTGGGAGATCCCTTAAGCCTTTAATGGTTACATCTCCACAGAAGGCCAGGCACCACTGCTCCAGAGCCTTGCTTTTCCTTAGTTTTTTGCACTTAAAATCAGTGCCTGCGTGAAGCCCTTCTGGGAAGGTAATAACCTAATCCCTTGTGCTGATTGAGTGCTCTCAGCTCTCAGTGTGGGATTCCCATGTTCTTATTTCCTAGAGCAACAACGAAATTGCAATTCTGTCAAACGAACACGGATCCTATCGCTACACGGAGTTCCTGACTGGCTTAGGGAAGCTCATTGAGCTCAAAGACTGTCAGCCAGATAAAATTTACCTTGGTGGCCTGGACGTGTGTGGGGAGGACGGACAGTTCACCTACTGTTGGCACGATGACATTATGCAAGGTAAGGTGGCCTCAGACACTGGAACTAGAAGGATGCTCTTTTCTCATCTTAAGACTGACCTGCCTTCTACAAACTGTTTCCTTCCCAGGGATGTAGTAAAGATGACCTGGGGCTCTGTTCTCCTCCCGTTCTCTCTCTGGTATCTCTGCAAGCCATGTGTTAAAGTCTAGGAGAGATGCACACCTGCCTTATTTAAGGAAAAAAAAATAATTACAGCACTGTAAAAATAGTCTACTCTAGGTTGATATGGTTTGGTATAGAGGTTTGTAGAACAAGCTGTTTGTTCTTCTGCTGCTATGAGGGCTGTTAACTGAGGGTGGTGTGTCCATGTCAAAACTATGCTAATTGTTTCTCTGAAGAATAGTATTGAAGGCAGGAGGGTTGTCATTACTGTGGTCATTGCTAATTGAACCGCAGTGTTACCCAGCTCCTGCAGCACCAAGCAGTGCAGGTATCACCCAGCATCCAACAAGCTATGAAGAACTTCCCAAATTTTTTCTTACAGCTCTATGCATCCCAGTCATCTTCCTTAGCCTGGTTCCCTGGGCAGCTGCAGGTTACTCATGGTGGCCCTGGTGCTCTGCAGAGCTCAGCCAGGGGAAGTGCTGCCTGTAGCACCAGTTATCCAGGCAAACCTAAGGGTTTTTCTATTTCCTCTTCAGCCATTTTCCACATTGCTACTCTGATGCCCACGAAGGATTTGGATAAATATCGCTGCGACAAGAAAAGGCACCTTGGGAATGATTTTGTGTCTATTGTTTACAACGATTCTGGAGAAGACTTTAAGCTGGGAACAATAAAGGTAGAAGATTTTCCTTGTGGGTGTGTTATAAAAAGACATGTGGCTGTTTGTCAAACCGTAATCTGATGTGTGTTATCTCAGCAAACAGTGTTGAGATCACGAATGGAGGTTATTTGCCTTGGTGCCTTCACATGTGTCAGTTTACGGCATTCACGAGAAGCACGATGGCTGCCAGGAAAACGTGTGTGACTATTTTATTGTTTTCTCATTAGGGTCAGTTCAATTTTGTGCACGTTATCATCACACCACTTGACTATGACTGTAACCTGGTGACGCTGCAGTGCCGGAAAGGTAGGAGTCCCTGGAGCCTTTGGTTTCAGAATTTCCTGTATTGGTGGTGCAATAACTGCCTCACTTTGCAGTGGTTTTGTGTTTCAAAAGTAAAAGCTTCAGGAGAAAAAGCTTTGAAACTCATTTGCTGCCCAGCTGTGTCTGGACATGTCCTGTTCCTCTGTCTTCCCCAAGATAAGAGGTATCTTCCCATTGTACCACCCGTACTATCTTCAAGCTTAAGACAAAGTGCCAGCAGAGGAGAGCAGGTCCCTCCAACAATGGCTTGTGAATACAGGAGGAGATGGTGGAGGTCCACTGCTGTCCTTCCCACCACTGCAGGACCTGATGCTTGGAAAGTGGCCATGGCTCCGTGCGAGTTCAGCAGCACTGGTGCAGTGACCTGCAGGAGCCTTTGCTTTCCTGTGCGAGTGCAGTGACCTGCAGGAGCCTTTGCTTTCCTCTTACCAAAGGGACACTTTGGGTGTGTTTTTTGCTCCCTCTTTGGTTCTTGTGATAAAGACCTCAGCCAGAATTGGAGAGCCAGCTGTGTTAAGTTGCAGTGCAAGTTCTGTTACATCTGGAGCTGTAAAGCTGGGTGGGAATTTCTGAGATTCTGTGGTGGTTTCTATTACTTGTCCATTTAGTTACTGGCAACTTTTCCCTTGTTCTTAACTGTTTTACAAGAATTTCTTTCTTCTTCCTTTAAAACAAAGACATGGAGGGTCTCGTGGACACGAGCGTCGCTAAGATCATCTCTGATAAGAACCTGCCCTTTGTAGCCCGTCAGATGGCCCTGCACGCTAACGTGAGTACCTCTGAGCTCCCCGAGACCTCCTGCCTTTCAGCTGCTGCCTTGGTCCATCACCAGCTTCCAAGGAAGAGAGTAGGGCTTGAAAGCAAATAAATAAGCTTTCTGTTTCAGTTTTTTCTGTCAACTGACTTTTAAGTCAAAGTTAACATGTGAAGCTATAACTTAGAGCTGTATTTCGCTATCAAACTGTACTGAAACTTTCTATTAATTTTGTTGTTAATGTGTGGTTATGTTAATGTGCCTCCTCTCTTTGAGACCTCCTGTCTTTCAGCTGCTGTCTTGGTCCATCACCAGCTTCCAAGGAAAAGAGTAGGGCTTGAAAGCAAATAAATAACCTTTCTGTTTCAGTTATTTCTGTCAACCTTAAAATTAGCACGTGAAGCTATAACTTAGAGCTGTATTTTGCTGCCAAACTGTACTGAAACTTTCTATTGATTTTGCTGTTAGTGTGTGGTTATGTTAATGTGCCTCCTCTCTTTCTCTGCTTCTCCCCACCCTTCCCAAATCAGATGGCTTCCCAGGTTCATCATAGTCGATCAAACCCTACTGACACCTACCCATCCAAATGGATTGCCAGGCTGCGCCATATCAAGAGGTTAAGGCACCGGGTGAGTAAAGCCCTCTGGTCTTAGTATTTAGAACTGGGCTCTACCTTAGAGTCTTCTTACAAATAAGGGACACAAAATCAGCGTCAGAACTTGCTGAGTAAGAGGAGGAATGTGTATGAAGGGTAGAATCCAGCTCTTGTGGGAGTGACCAGTGTAGCCATGTAGGTCTGGACTTGGGAACTTCTGAACAGCTTCCTTGGTGGCAAGAGGTTTGGGAACCCTAATGTCTGGACACGGAGCTGCACCCACACGGCACCGTGCTAGGGATGGTAGGACAAGCTGTCCTGATCAGCCTGCCCTGCCCAATGGAGAGTGAAAAGAGTTTCAGAGAGAATGGAGCTCATCTGTTCTGGCTTGACTTTCAGCTACGTGAAGAAACCCAGTACCAGACCCCTGGCCTTCCCCTGCAGATGCATCCGTCTGCTCCGACAAAGACCCCTCCCCAGATCCCTCAGGATCCTCCACCCACCTACGAGACCGGACAGAGGAAGCGGCTCATCTCCTCGGTGGACGACTTCACGGAGTTCGTGTAGGTGCCGGTGGGTCGCTGTGTCTGTGCTGGGACAGACGAGGCCACGGGAGAGTTTTACCTGCGTGTGGACCCCGTGGGGCTGCAGGGACAGAGAGGAGAGGGTTTGGCAGGCGCAGCGTGGCCCTGCTGTTTGCATGTGGACTCGGCATTGAACCGCACCGGGAGGCTCGAACGTTTCTCCATCTCAGCCCACCACTGTTGTCTGGCGAGGACACCATCCCCAGCAGATGCTCCAAGAGAGGACCAACTCTACGTGTCTTGTTTTTTATTTGGTTTGAGCTATTTCAAAGCTTCTGTCTCTGATGGGAACTTTCTTGCAGAACCTTTCTTTGGACTCCTTCCACACCAGCGTCTGGTGGGAGCAGACAAAGTGTGATATTCTGCAGTTCATCACGTAGTTGGAAGGTGCTGGAATTGTGGGAATTTTGTCAACTTTGTTGAGAATGAAGTATGAAGTATTGAAAATCCAGTCACTATTTCTAAGCACCCTGGAATCCCAGCTCCTCTCCAGGCCTCGGTGCCTCTCAGCACTTGAACTCTTCAGGCTCTCAGACTTGTTCTGCTGCCAGCTCTGCTAAAAGAGTTAATTTGGGTTCTCAAATGACCTGCCAAACCTGCTGCTTCAATTCCCAAGGATTTTGTCTCCATTTTGAGAGATTCACAGCAAACCTCCCCTTATTCAGCAGAAATGATTTTGCTCCCAGCAGTAACACAGACCAGGGGGGTGGACACCACTCGCTGGAGCAGCAGAAGGGCAGGAGCTGGGCCATGAATTACTTGGGATGAAGAGTCTGACCCTCGGGGCTGACTGGAGGAGTGTAGCCAGGGGGCCAGACCTGACTTCTGGGGTCAGCTGCAGAACTTCCTCTGGTTGCAGCGATGCTGGGGGTAACTCTTGTCCTTCCCTGGGCACCCGGTAAATCTCTTGTTGAAAGACTGTTGACATATCCTGGGGGGGCATCATCTGGAGTGAGTTTCAGCGCGTGTGCCTCCAGGTGGAATGGGATTATGTAGCCCATCTTACGGTAAGATGGTCCTCAGACACTACACTACCCAACTGGGAGAAACCCTGTAAGCTGGACTATACTGTGAGTACTTTATCTCCTGCTTTGTAAAATAAAAGGGGGGGAGAACTGCTCTTTAGTTCACAGCCAACGGCAGCGCCCTCGCCGCGGGGGTGAAGACAAGTGCAATCTGCACACCCAACTGTGAAGTGACAGGGGAGGGGACAAAAGTGATGCTACGAGCTTGTGCAGGGCTGTTTGGGAACGCTAAGTGTACGTTTGTGTTTTGAGTGTTCATAAGTCGTAAAGGAAATAAAATATTCGTATGGTCGGTGGGTTCTTGCTGGCCTGGGAAGATTCAAACTGTGTTTTGTAACCATATTGCTCATATTTCACCTCAAAATGCTGGGCGTGGTGTGGTACCTGCTGCAGTGGGTGCTTTTCTGGTGGCGTTTCCCCCCAGAGCAGCTCGATTGCTCCCAGGGGTGTTTGTGCAGGGGCAGCCCGGGGCTGAGAGAGCCCTCCTGCCGTGCTCTGCCTCCCTTGGGTCTCCTTTACCGTGACCACAGACCCTTCACCGACAAACTGATGGCATTAATTACAGCCCAGAGCGGCTCTAATGGGCCTGTGGATGTAAGAAAGTGTCTTGTAGTGTGCAGGAGACCTTAATTAAGATTCTGGTGGCAGACAATGAGGATGACAGTGGGCTGGGGAGGAATGGCTCTGGAGGAGACCTGGGAGCGCCACCGAGCTTTTGGCTGGGAGCGGGGAAGGGGCTGGAGGGAGCAGTAACAAAAGCAGCAGAGCCAGGTGGTAGCAGTCATTTTTTATTTGACCTTGTCATTTTTTAAGAAACATCCCCACAGTTACAAAATAGGATACTTTTGTTTGCAGTGAAATGCTGACCAGACAGTAACAGTTGGCATATTGGTCACAATCATCTCTTTTTTTTTAAAAAAAAAAAAAAAAAAAAAAAGCACTTATATAAGTCCCTCCCTCTCCCCTTTAAACTAATGAATAGGGTTTTTTTTTATTAAAGCAGCTTGATACTGTTGCATCTTTGTGAGACTTAAGACAATAAATAAGAAACCATCTCCGGGCGACTACAAACACAGAAATATACATTCAGGAGTATTTATTGGCAAGGGCTGCAAGTCAAGTTTATTGCTGTGGAGGGTGTAACTCCATGACTGGTAACTCGGGCTGCAGCTGAGTGCCTGTAGCCACGGTACCTTCTGTGGGCCAGTGAGGGAACCCTGTGAGCGTTGCTAGAGTTTGTAACAAATCAATGCTGTGCTGAGAACTAGGAATCGCTTTGGAAGCTGGGAGCGGTGCCCATCCACGCGCATGGGCCCTCCTTGGAGGTGTTTGGCTTTTCAAGAAACAACTGTGGGTTCCAGAGCTGCTCTCCATACTTCAAGTGAAGGAAAGAAGTAGGGCAGTTGTCTTATCCTGTCTCTGCTCCTCTTTGATTAGAAGAAGCACTTGGTAAGTCACACGCATCAAGTCACACTCGCGCACACACACACGCAGAGCACGCTTGGTAAGAAACAGGCACTTGGGAACAACAAAATCCTGACATTTCACTTGGGGAGCATCCGTGTTCCACGTTCCTGTTAGCTTATTAAAGGCTGTTCTGAGCACGGGGTCCCTGCTCACCTGTCTCTCTCTCTCTCTCTCTCCTTCCTGCACTTAACTCCTATTAACAACCTCTTTTAAACGAGTATACTCGGGCTGTGGGGGCGGGGAGGGGCTGAGAACTGACCTGTGGCTCTTGAACTGAACTTTTTTTGGCTCTTGAAGATGCAAGAGCTTTCCAAGACCCGCTTGGTTCATTTTGCTCACTGAGGGGAGGGTGGCTGGATCTACGCACATTCCAACTGCCACAGGAAAGGGGTGCCTGGGCACAGCCAGGCGCGGAGCTGGAGGTTAAAAGTGGCTGCTGTGGTGCAGTTGTGGTTACATCTCCCATGTAAGACCCCTAAAGAGACTGGGAGCTGGTGGCCCACCCAGCAGCACATGCCAGTGAGTGATTTCCTGCAGTTACTCTCCTTTTTCTATCTCTCTCCCTTGGCCAAAAAAATTCCTGTGCGCTTACGCAGCAGCGTTAGAAGATGAGCAACTTGCTTTTGTCCTCGTGGGTAGTTGATATTTATGCAACTAAATCCTGCTCCAGAGCCTTTCCCTTTGAGGAGCAGCCAAAGGAAGCTTTGGCTGTAGGGACAGAAGTAGAACAGAGTTCCTGAGCTTCACCCAGGGCCTGTCCTTATCTCACCAAACAGGACTTTTTGCTTTATAACAATGTCCTTCTTCACTGAGGGGAGGACACACCGGAGCTGGATGCCCAGTGCCGCTATCGGAGCTGCAGGGCCACAGCACAGGGATCCTGGTACATCCCACTTTTACTGCCTTGGGAGGGTTGGGATGGGGTTTGCAGCATTGTATGTCACCAAAAAAAGTCACGGGCAGGTCCCTGTGCTGCTTGGGTAAGTAGAAGGAACCAAAAAGCACAAGGCCAATAGTTCCAAGTTTCTGGCTTGAAAACCAGGTTGAGATACCAGAAGAGTTTCTGGGGAAGATGGAGCTGTTTGTAAAAGGAACAGAAAATCACTTCTGTACAGCACACAAAGCCTACAAACGCCAGCACCGGGCTCTGTGGACCTCACTGATGGTTCTACCTGCTCCAGGCACCTGCTGCCTCCACGCTGGAGTTCTCCATCTCCAACTACTGCTCCTGAACTCTAGGTGCTTCTCTGTCATCTCCTCTTCTACCTGCCTTTCCTTCCCTCTACAAAAGCTTTGCAATTACTACTATTAATTTTCTCCCCTCTGCACTCAACTTCTCTCTGCACAATCTGCTCTTCCAACAACCTCTCTGGTGACCAACCACCGCCTCACTTTAATCTTCAAGCTACAGCACACTTGTTTTCTCCTGCCCACAGCCTTCTGCAACCTTTCCACAGCATCTGGCCTTCATATCAACTGGGTTTTTCAAAGGCAACTTAACACCACAAAGAGCACTCCTGCCTCCTCCTTCAGTCACCCCTAAGGGACCCGGGCAGCCGCCGGGAGCCAAGGAAACACAGAGACAGCTGGAATGAAATCTTCCTTTTAAAATTACCTAACACAGTGTGGCAGCAGGGCTGGGGAGACTCAGGAGGTGACGGGATTAGCAATGGAAGTGTCTGAGAAGATCCCTCTCTCTCTGCCTGGAAAAGCCTCCCCTTCCTGGGCACGGGAAAGATGCTTCCAGGCCCACCAGCGTGAGAGGCAAGAGTCTAACCCGAGGCACCCTCCCCCTGCAGCACTTGCCCACCTTTTTTCTCACTGCCTAAGGCTTCCTTTCATCCCTCTCACGTTCCCAAAGCACGGAGCAGGTTCTGGGAACACCCCAAGCCCTCTCCCTGCCCCGCTCCACCTGCAGCCATGGCCCAGAGCCAGCCCGGCCCACCCTCAGCGGGGAGGAGAGCACACGCACCACACGCACACAGACACCCAATACTTATATACACGGGACATTCCCAGGAAGAAGCACTTAATACATCCTTTAAATAACTCTGACAATAGTATTCTGTCTCCTATCTACATGTTTCAAACACGTTACCGATGCTATGAAAATATAGCAAACATACAAAAATATATACATTTAAAAAAAAAAAGAAGAAACCAAAACCAAACCATATAAATTACTTACAATATACATAACATGAAATGGTGATGAGGAAGTGAACGCAGACCCTGGGGAGGCTTCAGCTGCTGCTCAGCACCCCCTGGGCTGGGGGTAGGGGGTGCCTCCATGGTGCAGCCCCCCCACCCTGGCCGGGCACAGCAAGCACAGGCCAGCTGTAGCCCAACCCATGGCAAGTCCTGGAGGGGCTTGGGGTGGCTGGGACCCCGATAAAAGCTCCGTTAGGGCTTTACCTGCCTCCCCCAAAGCCTTTGTGCTTCTCGTGGGGAAGGTGCCAGGAGGTACCGGCATGGCTGGAGGGGACAGACTTGAACATAAGAAGTTCCATCTAAACATGAGGAGGAACTTCTTTACTTTGAGGGTGGCAGAGCCCTGGAAGAGGCTGCCCAGAGAGGTGGTGGAGTCTCCTTCTCTGGAGACGTTCAAAACCCACCTGGACACGTTCCTGTGCAACCTGCTCTGGCAGGGGGGCTTGGACTAAATGATCTCCAGAGGTCCTTTCCAATCCCGTGTGATTCTGTGCTGGGGGCTGCGTTCACTTCATCATCTCATTTCAGCTTATGATTTAAACAAACGAACAAAAAAAATACTGCTTTTGTGATATATTATCCCATTCTTGTTATGTCGCATGTGTCATTGTTAGCCGAGGAAAGCATTGTTTAAAGTGCTGGGCAGTACATACGAACAAGTAAACCAAAAATAAAAAATACATATACTTACGTCAATACATTCCTTGGATTAGAAAAGCCAAGCAGCCAGCAGCGCCCGTGCCCCCCGGGCCACCGTGCCGGGGAGGGGGACACGGGGGCTGGTGGGCAGGGGGCGGGTGGGGGACCGCAGCGAAGCCAGCACGTTGGCAACCCCACGCTCAGAGATGGCTGGAAGCAGCCCGAGGTCTCCGTGGCCCCCGGGGGCTGAGCTGCAGCTCATGACCCCCTCCGAGCCCGGCCGGGCAGCGGGGCTGGCAGCTCGCTGCAGCCTGCAATGTCATTTCTTTTAAATATTGGGTTTCTTTAAATACAAACAATAGTACCAATTTCTGGAGGATAAAAGTAGCCAATACTGGAAATTAACTGATCTGGGTGTAGATATCATTTATCTATATATATTTATGCTTAAAAAAAAAAAATAAAATGGTTAAATATCTTCTTGAAACCTGTAGCTTTCCTCCACAGTGTGTGTGGTCAACAAAATCCAAGACTCTTCAAACCTTCAAGGCCTGGGGCTCCCCTCTCCCCCTTTCCATCTGGCACAGCCAGCAGGGAAGGGAGGCGAGCCTTGTACCAGTCACCCTGTGCCAATCCCCAGTAAAGTGTCCATATGACAGTCGCCATATGCAGCTGTTTGCAGATGGGGCCATTTAAACAAAATAAATGACTTTTTTTTTTTTTAATACTGCCCTACCCTAAGAGGGATTTTTCCGCACGCTGCCTGTACCCCGCGCACCCAAGGGAAAGGCTCAGCCTTCTCCAGCCAGCCCTTAGTGCTGGAAGCCACCAGTAAGGACGTCGGCCCACCCGGTGGGGACGGTCAGGTCCCTGGAGGATGGTGGCAGTGGCCCCGTGCGCCCCGGCAGGCACAGCCGCCGCAGCGGGAGCTTTCGGAAGCTCCTGAGGCTCCGGGTCTGCACGGCAGGCACAGCCCACCCTTGGCAAACCCCTTCCCAGGCGTTCTC